TAAGTTGTAAAATTCAGTTTTATTTCAGTTGAAATGTAAATTTTGTTTCTTCGCATGTACTGACTTATGAATTAATAACAGGTTAAATCTTGATGAAAAATGACAAAATTATGATTAGATGATACGCCTCACGACTTAGCCTGTTTTGGTTATTTCACAATTTACCGCTACGAGTAACTTTGAGACCATTAACTCTTTGAAACATGTTTGAAGCTGAAAAAGTACTTATAGAACATGAAGAAAGTGAATTCCGAGTTAAGCTCTTATCACAAGCAAAAGCCTATCTAGTTTGGAGAAGTTTTGAACCTTATCGAGTGAAATCGCAAACTCGTGACTTTCAATGAATTCTTTCTGTTTTGTACGCATTGTCAGGGATGCTATAATATGTTTAGTCTTGGTGCTAATAATGTGATAATTCTTAAAACTGACAATGGAGATTGAAGTACGGAAGTATGCTCTATCAATAAAGGATGGACTGTACTGAAGCCCTGTGTGAGGTCAGAAAGGCTAATTATCATACACATGAAAGAATAATATTATATTGATTAGCTGCCATTATGAAAGAGTTCTCACTCCATCGAGTTCAAATCCCATATAAGTGTTGAAGTAGAGGAAGAGACCTTGACAGCCGGTGTTTGTTTCTACCCTGTTGTTCTGGAAGCATTTTTTCCTTTTATCGAAGTTCGTCAGTTTTTATTAGTATCGTCTGCTTTACTTTTGACAAAATGCACCTTTTTCACTAAGAGACACTTGTGAAGGCAAAACCACAACGACAATCCATTGAGGGTCAGACGGATCTTTAGTAGACCTGGATCAGTAAAATCTTAAATGCCATATTTTAAAATTAGAGCAGTAAACTGATCCTTACGACAGGAAGAGTGAAAGGAAAAATAAAGAAAGAAAATAAAACGATGAATTATATTTGCCCGATGTTTCGGTTTGCAACACAAACCCTTAACGGGGGCTATAAAAGCAAAATCACTGTCCCCTTGGTTGTATTAGCCTCTCAAAAGCTGTCTCCGCCCCAGCTGGAGGCTCTGCCCTCGCTGAATGACTCCTTGCCAGGCTGAGTGTATAGTGAGACTGTTCGAGTACGGTTTGTTGTATATTTTTCCTTAACGAAAAGCTATGTTTTCAGAAAAAAATCTTTGTTTGTAATGGGGTTTACTTACGGGTACCTTCATATAAATCAAAAAAAAGTACACAAAACGATCGTTTTCAGATCTTTTTCCGGAAAACGATCTGTTCCACATAACTTTGCTCTTGGTGTTTTGAAAACATGCATATCCTATGAACAGAAGATTCTTTTAGTATAACTGGACCGTGTAGCAAAGTCAGGTAGTGTCAATTAACGAGGTCTTATTAGCGAAGGGGCCTTTTTTGCGAAAAACTGCACGTTCGCTTTTGAGTCTTGTTCGAAGTGGACAAATACAAATTGACCGTCTTAACGAAAATTTTCTGTGTGAGCTGGTGTTCTAATGCCTGTATCTTTGGCCAAGGAAGCGAGGAAATTTGCGGGCTAAAACTGTAAAACCGACATCAGATTCATGGTTAGCTCACTGTTTAGTGTTTACGGTGTGCTCACACCTTTGACGAACAATTTATGTCTTCCAGCGAATGTTGTTGTTCGAAGGACATTTTCGTGCATCCCAGTTCAACCTAGCAATAACACCGCAGTTTACACAGAAAGAATTCTCCAGAAAACCGAAAAAAGAGACTTCAATCAATCAAGATATCTTGCTGTGCAGTTAGAACGTTCACGCCTTTCATTTCTACTAGAGGCTTCTTCTGGAATCTAAACATTCTTTTAAGAATCGAATCAGGCACGCAACTCTATACCTGCTCCCTCAACCTTTTAAAGTTTTTGATGATAAGATGGACTTAACAATGACCTGACTTAGAATCAGTTCATTTATTACCTTCGAAGAGCGTAGTAGTCATGGAATTTTCAGACATATGTCCTGAGCAAATGCAGATTTTCTAAAACGTTGACTCGAAAGTTTTTGTCAAGAATGTGAAATATATATTTTTTGAATTCAGTTAAGTTGTAAAATTCAGTTTTATTTCAGTTGAAATGAAAAGTTTGTTTCTTCGCATGTACTGACTTATGAATTAATAACAGGTTAAATCTTGATGAAAAATGACAAAAATATGATTAGATGATACGCCTCACGACTTAGCCTGTTTTGGTTATTTTACAATTTACCGCTACGAGTAACTTTGAGACCATTAATGAAACTTTTTGAAACATGTTTGAAGCTGAAAAAGTACTTTTAGAACAAGGAGAAAGTGAATTCCGAGTTAAGCTCTTATCACAAGCAAAAGCCTATCTAGTTTGGACAAGTTTTGAACCTTATCGAGTGAAATCGCAAACTCGTGACTTTCAATGAATTCTTTCTGTTTTGTATGCATTGTCAGGGATGCTATAATATGTTTAGTCTTGGTGCTAATAATGTGATAATTCTTAAAACTGACAATGGAGATTGAAGTACGGAAGTATGCTCTATCAATAAAGGATGGACTGTACTGAAGCCCTGTGGCGTAAATGGGTGGGTTATGAAATTTGTCTCAAGCTACTGCAGCGCTTTGCTCTATTGTACGCCTTTTGCCCTTGCTTCATTCCATTAAAACATAACTGAGATCGTCACAATCTTTCCCTGATTAACCTTGACCGTTATCAAAGGGAGAATTCTAGATTACTGATTTCTTAACGATCTCACAATTGCAAACGTGCTTGGGTGTTGTGTTTTATCAAATCAAATTCAATTAATCTCAAAGATTTCATCCCACAAAATGATAATGTTATGATCCAGCGCTTTCGCCGAGTTCACTTGCATATGAGCTCTTGCTGTGCAACTAAATATCCTTCAGTTACCAGACGCCTACAGTGAACTGACTTAAACCTTGGTTTCGCCCGTCGAGAGTAGTCATTGGGTTTTCAGACATCGATCTTTATGCAAATTAGTCTTCTTTCTAGACTTCCTTTCCCAATAATTTACCGCTGCGGTTTTCATTTCATTCTCAAATTGCCTTATGACTAACCTTACTCCTTTTTTGTACATTTTTGTCCACTCTTTGCCAGAAGTGAGTGTCATCTCTCTGGAATGTTCGCGACCGCCTGACCGCGAAGATTTGTCTCCAGTACGCGACAAATCATGACTTTCCACCATAAATATTTCATAATGGAACAACCACTATAATTCTCAAATGATATTTTGCACGGATAACATCGTAAACATAGTAAACTATCAACGCTGAACATATCAGTATTGTAAATTAACAGTTAATTTGGTTGGCAAAGTCTATTATTTATTCAGTTGCGACATTCAACAAAGCACTGGCACCTCGACAACCAGTTCTCAGGGGCTCGAATCGAAAGGCCATCTTTCCCCACACACATAACTTGAGCGAAAGGATGCAAAACGTCTTTTATTGTTGAGCTTCCAAGTCTCGTAATGAAGGTAGCATTTCATAATTTTGCATGACATTGGTGATGTCGCGATTAAAGGACACATGGAGCACACAAGATAAATCTAATTGATACTTCAACAAATTCTCCCCACTACTTTTATAGGAAACGTTTAGGGACAACAAATGAGAATTTGAATTTTGATGTTAGGGTTTCGTGCAGAGGAAGTAAAAACGTCTATTTTTAGCGACCGTGGGCAGTTAAATTGATGATAAGACGAACGCGAATAAATTAGCTTCGACATGCTATAAAAGAGCTTTCGTGATTAGCTTTCGTGATTCCACAGCGACGAAACCACCCGGATCAAAACACCGAAAATACAAGTTGAAAGAGCCAAAGATCGCCTTTAATTGCTGGTATATATGGCAAGAAGATCCCTTTCGCTTCCAGGACGGTCCTCGCGACTTTCTCATGTCGAAAGAAAAGGAAGTATATCGTTAACACGCCGAAAACAGGTTCATTGGTCAAATGAGCTAGAAGAAGTGATCTATTTCCCTCCCGATTGTTCCACCTTAAGCACCGATGGACTTTTTGATCGTCGAGTAAAACTAATGCGTTCTAAAAGCTTGAAAACGCTTTACAAATCCAAGAGACTACCGCTCAAAGCGACTCAGTCACTCGCAAGAGGTATCAACGACGCCAATTCGTCTTTAATCCGCACCGGCGTGAATATTTTAACGCAGCAGCTTGATCGGTTCAAGAGCCGAAGCGAAAACTTGGAAATTTTTGATCAAGAGAGCAATAATCGCTGGAAAGAACTTCTAAGAAACTATCAGAAACGAATGAGAGACCTTCTTGAGGAACAAGAGGAGGAGTGGGTGTGATGCGTGGATCGGCGAACACGTGGACCGACACTCTGATCAGTGTTAAACGATTTCTGGCTTAAAACAGGAGCAAACGTGGTCACGTTTACAACTGTTGTCGCCATTAAAGGCGTGGGTGGACAGCTGTATTGAGGAAGAAAATACCCGCAAGAATTGCAAGGAAACACTTGGCGGAAAGAGAATTAAGTAGAGGAACTGAATACAAACGAAAGGGTAAAGGAAATGACGTCGAATTAATTTGTAGAGAGGAAAGCTTTTAAAAACATCTGTAAATGCTGGACTTTACCCTGGTTTTATTGAATGAATAATTTATCAATATAAACATGTCAGGTCAGGTTAGACGGGTTTGATTTTTATGTAAGTGAAAAAACATGGCAAGGTTCGTGAAGTTTTATAAGTTATACGCTGCCGTTTCTCGTAAATTTTAAGCAAATTTCTGTGCAGGTCTCTGAATGTGCTTATCGCCTTAACCGAGTCTTTTCGTTGCGCTTAAAAAAGTCCTTGCCTTTTCGTACTTAAATATTTTTAACGTTTTGAGTAAGCACCGTTGTATTTGTAACGAACAAAACCTATACTTTTTTGTCGGACCAACGAGACTAAAATAATAATATATTGAATGTAAATAACAAACTATTTTACGACCGGTGAGGTTTACTATATCGCGCATTTACCTTGAATTTGTTTTTCATACATGTATAGCGGCTGTGTGTGCCATTCTTTAAGTGTTTGTGGTAATTTGCTGTTTGAAGAAAACAAAAAGAAACAAAGTGTTTAGTAATGGTTGAAAATGTAACCTTGTTATAATCAGTTGAAGTTTAAACCTTTTCAAGTCAAGGTCAAGGGAACCTTTAAATTGCAGTTAATTCAGAGCAGAATTTGTTAATAATTTGTAATGACGGTTATTTTATTGAAATACGACCTTGAATAAAGATATCTTTTGTCATCGCCAGAGAGACTGGTTGTTTCTTTTCTAATTCAGTTATTAATGCAGTCCAACTTTCAATTGTGCGACCACCTCTCATAAGCGACCGCGACCACTTTTTTGGGTGACGACTTTCCATTGTTTTTATCCTCCTGTAAGCGACCACTTAAAGCATGATCTCAGTGTTCGTTGTATGTACTACACTACTAAGAGAAAACGATTTACTTTTCGTGACAACATAAAACTAAGCAGATCTTAACTCAGAGATTGCATGCAATAAGTTCTCTTCCAAAATTTAGATTGTTGATTGTTTGGACCTCTTATAGAATGGGAACCCCTGTGGATCGATTCTCTAAGTGACCACTAAACCTTTTGGGTGGTCGATTACGGGAGGTTTGACTGTACTTCAGGCGAGAAGTCTCGCAGGAGTACACGAATAAATATTGGTGCTATTTTGTTTCTTAGGCGGCGAATATTTTATTTTTTAAACCTTAAAGCCCTTCAGTATCAGCTTGCTTATTCTAGGATTAAATTAACTGCAAAAACCGTGGACTAGTTGTAAACGTTGGATCTCTAGAAAAGAGATCTAATCAGCCAAAATATAAAGAACCAAGAACGAGAAGTCCAAAGACTACTGCAAAGCTGATTTAAAACAACGTGTATTGTGTTTTTTTAACAATATTTCGGCTGGCCATACCAGCCTTCTTCAGGTTTACAGATGTTACTGAACTTATGTACCAATCACAATATCATATAGATGGAGAATGTCGCAATAAAAGGGAGAGGCGGAAATGACGCTGGGAGTCGCATTTGATAGATAAGGGCACGACTCTTGAACCTCATGGCCTAAACCGCCGTGACGAATTATTGTAATCCATATCCTTAGTATTTTTCCTTTCCAGTTTTTATGTTGTAACGTCATTCCCGCCTCTCCCTTTTATTGCGACATTCTCCATCTATATAATATTGTGATTGCTTCATAAGTTTAGTAACATCTGTAAACCTGAAGAAGGCTGGTATGGCCAGCCGAAATATTGTTATAAAAAACAATACAAGTTGTTTTAAATCAGCTTTGCAGTAGTCTTTGGACTTCTCGTTCTCGGTTGCTTATTCTACAATCCTTTAAATTTCCTTTGGTACTGATGAGAAGAATTTTTTCAACAGCAAGACATTTCAACTTTGATCAGATTTGTTGAATTTACAGCCTAGCGTTTCTTCATGCAACCATCGGAAACCTCTTCAAAACTGCTGAACAAACCATAGATTTTGCCAAATCTGTTACAGTTTTGTGGTTTTCATCATTTTTTTTTCTGTTTCAAACTGGAATTAGAAGAAAAATCTCTCAGCTTATCTAACATTCAGGCCTACCATAAAAAATGTGGCCACTCTCGTATAAAAATGACAGGAATGCTTGTCGGAAAATTAGAATCAAACCCCCTGAAGAAGACCAATTTGGGTGTGGCTCAACTTTATTTGACCCCGAAAGAAGACCTAACACTATTTGTTATGTTTATTTAGGAATTTGCTTTTGGGCCAACGCCAAGTGATAGCTCTTAGTTTAAACTTTTAAAACTAAATGTATTTTCAGTAAGGGGAAAGATGCACTAAACACCGAAGTCTTCGTTTTATAACCAATGGAAAACGAAAGCTAATTTTCAGGTCAAGAAAAGAAATGTTAAGTGGGACCGTGTCGGAACAGGTATACAGGGTGTTTCAAAAGTTCGTTCCGATTGTATATTGTATTTTGCGCAAAGCATTTAATGCTTTGTTAGGCAAATGTACACTGATTCAGGTAAGAAATTTATATAAATAACCTTTAAAAGCTAGTTTAAACTAAGATTTGAAGAAATTATAATATGCACGTACTTGAGTTTTTTCCCGCTCTACTTTTCCTGCCCATTTTGTAGGTTTTCTATTTTCGTTCTTTTTTTTTCCGCTTTCTTTTATTTATTCTACTACTTCACGAAAATGAAGGTGTACACTGTTTGTACTTTAGAGCTCTAGAGCTCATGCATCTGTTTTTACGGTTTTCTGGCCATTCAGTCAAAGAAATTGGCAAACTGTTGAAGAAGTCTGAACGATTTAAGTGAACAAGTGGTCAACATTAAAGACTTTAGAAGACAAACTAAGGAGTGATGGCCGTTGTTTTTTAAATGTGTGAGAAGTGTTATCGAAAAAGCTGTAAGCAGTGGTAAGTATATGAGTAGTAATTCTCCAAGACAGAAAGGTAAAAAAATTCAACTTTACAATATCAAAGTTTCGAGCACAACAGAATGAAGATAAATGACCAACAAAGGTTGGAAAGCCTTGAATAGGAAAATTAAAGGCGGCGCACACGCGGACATGGTGTCAGAAAAATTTGCAAACTTTATAGCAAAGGGCGACCGGCTGGTAAACTCACGTGATGCGAATCCTCTAGAGACCATCTGGATTATCGTTAACGAGATGACATACAAAGATCCAGCCCCAAAAACACTGGACGAGCTAAGACAGTGACTACGCTTCACCTGGAAAAATGTTTCTTAGACACACTTTGGGAGCTCGTACATTCTATACCTCACCACTTAGAAAATGTCAGAAAACATAATGGAAGACATTTTGGTTACTAATATGTCAGATATTCAATGTTAAGTGATTAATAAATAACATACTTAAGTTTTAGAAACTGTATTTTTAATAATCAGTGAATTCTTAGCGAAGAAAAAATCGGAACGAACCTTTGAAACACCTTGTACATGTATAACTACTTTTGCCACAATTCGAAAAATCACGCATTCGTAAATTAAAATGTGAAAAAAGGTTAGTAAGAAGTAAAGTAAAAGTTGGATTTCGAATGTAACACCGATAGAATTCTTAAAAAAGGCTTCTTTTCTCGTCTGATGGAAGATGATGACTCAGCAAGTGAGTCGTTCTGAGCTGATTGTGTCTCGTCACAATTTTTGTACCATTTTCTTAGCAAAATTGCAGAGCAAGTTTCCCTGAGGGAAGATTGTCTAGTGTAACAGGGCCAAATGGGATTTTTTTGTTTCATTAAACGTGAGCAGGTTTTATTTTTGCACTCATCTTAGATGATCCAACTGGTCCGGGATACTGCTGGAGTACTGAGACGATGCGCAAAGCTCAGATCGTGGAAAAAGGGGTGCATTTTCGTCCAAGCGGAAGACCATAGAGAGCCATGCAACGTAGTTCTTCAGCAAGACGTTAGCTTGGGATAAAGTGAAGTGGCAGGGACATGCAGTTGGATTTTGACCGTGTGGAACCCTGTTAGATGATAAGGTAGGCCACACAAAAGAGTACTTCAGTCAAGATTTCTATTTTTTATTGTTGCGTTCGTCAGAACGCATCCTAATCTGGCGTTCCTGTGGCACTTGGGCAGAATTTTTTGAGCTATCACGGGCGACTGCAAATTAGCCTCCCCTATTAATTTTTCAGGGGCACCTCGGCCGGGAAACTGGACTCCTTTCGACTCCATTTCGTTTCCGTAATTTTTCCTAAAGTGACGAACGCGGATCGGAAATCAATGATTACCTCTTGTATCATTTGTAAACCCTCATCTAACATTCAGACGGTGGTGAGAGATACCACATAGAGAAGGCTTAAACGTCACCCGCAAAGATATTCAGGAAATTAGAATTACTCTGGTATCTAGTGTTGTGTATATTGCTTTTGATTTCTTTTAGATCCATTACGAAACAGTTTTATTACAGTCCGAAAAGTAGCAAACGATGTTAGTAGTGTAGAATCTCGCTGCCTTCAAAAAGTAATAAATAATCTGAAATTACAATGAAAAATACAACAGTAAATTGCAACTAGAGCTAATCATTGATAACAGATCCGCGTTCCTCACTCGAGTCGAAAGGAGTCCAGTTCTCTTCTCGGCCGAGATGCCCCTGATAAAATCAGTAGAGGCGGCTAATTTGCAGTCGCCCTTGATACCTCAAAAATTTGTGGCTTTGTACCAAGGCAACACCAAGATTAGGATGCGTTCTGACGAACGCGGTTAAAAGTTTGTGAATAGGAAGTTATCAAATAATAAAAATTATAACAAAGAAAATCAAGAAGATGCATAAAAGTCAATTAAGGCCTTTTTAAAACTATGTACACTTTCAATCTTCTTTAAAGAATTCAGTATTGTTTACCATAATCATGCTGCCCTCACAGTAAATGTGTGGGCCCCTCCGGTTTCATGCTTAAAGCCAGGGCAGACTAAGTTCAGGGAGCTATTTCGGCTATTCCGATCATTAATGTCCGAATTTTATACCAGAAGATCATTCATGTGCATGTAGCTTGGGCTATGTCCATTAACACGCTTGTAATTTTGAATACAAATGTTTACTTTCACCTCGAGGTGAAGTGGAAGCCAATTTAATTTTACAAATAGTTCAACACTGTTCGCGAGCGTGTCGGCGTCAAGGATGTAACGCGTGCACTTTGCTTCTGGAGACGAAGAACCCTCTGCAAATTCCCAGTGAGCACGCGGATCATACAGTGGACGCATACATTATTGTTTGCTTAATCATGACGTTGTAGTACGCTTTCCTCTGTTCCAGAGGAAGAAATCTCTTAATCCTACTCAGCACGGCAATTCGCTGACAGAGCTTTTCACGGAGTTCGTCGATATGGTCAGTGGTCATCAAAAGAGAGTTTGTGATCAATTGTGACACCTAAGAGTTTTTGTGAGCTCACTCGTTTAAGTTCGGTGGCATTTAATTAAACTTGCAGCTGTTGGTTATTCATTCTTTTCTCGATCCATTTACCGGTAGCTAGCATTGCTTTGGTCTTCATTTCACTAAGAATTATTTTGTCGTTATCTGACCTTTATGCAATCTATCCAAACCTGATTGGAGACCATCACTGATAGCCTGAGGTGCTAATTTGTAATCAGTGGAATAACGCATCATAAGATCATCGGCATATATGTCTGCTACGGTGCTCTGTAGTGCCAAGGGGAGGTCATTTACGAATACAAGAAACAGTACTAGACCCAGGAGGTACACCCAAAGTTATGTCCCTTGTACTAGAATGAGATCCATCAACGTTTACATATTGCTTACGAACCTCTCATGTAATCAGTAAATAACGGCAAAAAATCCTTTTCAATGCCTATCAGCTCAAGGTCTGATAACAGCAAGTAATGTCGATGAGGTCAAATGTCTTTTTGTAGTCTACAAAGACGAGACCAGTAACTTTGTCATTGTCAAGATCAAACAGAATCTGATCCGTAAGCCGTATCCGTGCCGTTTCATTAGAAACATTTCTTCTAAAGCCAGACTGGAAATGGTGAAGTGAAGCGTTAGACATGCTTCTCTGATATCGTCCCTCTTACCATTTCCCTTGAAAATGGATGTGACTCTTGCAATATTTCAGGCGCTCGGAACCGTTTTCGTACGCAAGCAGTGGTTTAACTGCTTGGATAGAAAGGGGACGATAGCCGGTGCCGCAATTTTCAACAATTTAGCACTGATGCCGTCATCGCCAGTGGCCTTGTTCGCAGGGATTGATAAAAAAGGCTCCGCCACTCTCTTCTGAGTAATAAATAGGATTTAAAATTCACAGTTGCTGCCACGCCCAATTGTGAATGGAGACTTCCCTATGGTTCTTTTATCAACTCCTCAATCAATTTCTTAGGTTGGTTGATAAAAAAATTGTTTAATATCTCCGCGATGGTCCTCTTATTGGAGATATATTTCTCATTTTCTTTCAGATTTTTGATTCTAATCTGCTTCTCCTCATCATCCGTAGACGTTCCATAGCTTCCTTGTATTGTTCTTGGCAGAAAAATTGTTTTCATGTACGGAGAAAGAGAAAGGTCTGGGTCGTCTTGCTTCTGTAGATCTCTTTTTTACCGGATTCATTTGAATTATTTCATTCGACCTTTTGGTGCTCTTCCGTAACTTCTCGGAAACATGGCTCATAATATGCGACTGAATTGCCCGCTTTCCAGCCCTTGACAGTTTCATCATTCTCTAAGACAGAACAAGGCATACAATATTATTCCTGACATCGTGAACAAGTATATTTTGTATTCTTCTTTACCCTCCAATTTTCTCAAATTCGTGTTCTGCGCATCGCAACTACGTAAAAACGAGGAGGATTGTGGGAAAAATTATTAAGTTAATGTAAGGAGCGCCGTATGAATCACCTGCCGCTCCAATGTCGAATAATGTGACAGACTCTGTCGAGTTTGGCGTTTTTGCCGCACCAAATTAAAACTTCCGTACCAAATTGATTCCGACTCTCCTCTTTTGCCGTACTTAATTCATCAGTTAGGTTCGGCACATGTGTGGAGCGGCGTTTGAGCGGGGCCTAAAATTGTGCAATTTATATCCATGGACTTTTCATTGATGTGTGGACTAAGCAGCAACCTCCAATCCCATAATCATGGTGGGCAATTAAAAACTCATCATCGTTTAGTTAAAAAAACGTCGACTTTGATGTCAACCACACCTGCTTTAACCGCTTATTTATATGTGAGTTGGTGTTCCCTAGGTAGTGCTTTAAAATTACGCAGGTTTCGCGTTTTTGCTTTTGTTGTTGTTGTTGTTGTTGTTTTTTTTTTTTGGCCAGCTCTGATAACTAACTTATAGAAGTAAGCCTTTCGTCTCGGTAAAGAGGTGAAGCTTGCAGATTTTCGGTTGGAAAGATTAAAATTCGTTCAGGATGGCCATGTTGAGTACATAATATTGAAATATGCATTTGTGCAAATAACAGTTTTATTTATTTTTCTTGTATTGAAGCGTTTCAACATTTGGAGATAAATAATGTTTATTCTTAAGTAAAATGTTAACACTGTATTATAGATTTCACTGACAAAACTGAAATAGTAAGGGCAAATTAAAGCAGACGTATCGTAACTATTCCTGGATACTCAGCATACAAATTTTTCCAGAAATTGCCTTCTCAAAATCAGTTTTAAATGGCCCGTAAAATTCGAAAAGATCATTCCAGTACTTGTCAAAGGTAGTGGCATCCTCGGCATTCATCTCATAGTCGCAGTGTCCGGTTGAAATTCTTTCCACAATGCGGGTAATTCGTCCATGTAGCTTACGTACAATGTCGCGGTCGCAAAACGCAGAAGAGATGTTCTTTAAAATACGGGTTTTCATCTTCAGTTTCTTCATCAGTGACTGGACATTCTTGCTTTCGGTTTCTGGAGTGAAATATAAAACTTCTTCCAGGTTCAAGGCCCAGTGTACCCTTCTATTCTCCCTGAGATGTATTGTATCACTCGAACAAACTGTTTTAGACCCTGTTTCCATCGTTGGTTGGATTAGTTAGAGGCGATGTGAAGTCCACCAGAAAGCATGGCAAAATAGTTCTTTAAGTTCAACCAGCCGACAATTATTTGCCATTTAGTGTGAAAAAAAGAAATTAAATCTATCGTATAAACTGACTGTGAAAACGTGAACTAACCTTGAAGTTAGGTCCGGTAACGTGCTAAAGTTTGTCTGCTTCCCTGAGACTACTGAGGAAATTTTTGCCCGGAAAAAAAGGAAACGACAAATTATCGGTGTCAATGAATTTTCTCTACCTGAGTTAAAATTTCGGCTCATTTTACCTTGCTAACTTGTCCAAAAGTCACGCGTACCTGGTTTTCGTTCTTTAAAAATCTCGAAAATCACACCGCTGATCACAAGTACTCGAAGACAAGAAAGAAGCGGACATGTGTTTGATCCACCAACTTTTTTAATTCGCCGCAAATAGCCTCTTTTAGCATTTAAATTTAAAAACATTAATAAGGCAATGGTCTGCTTAATGTAAAAGTTTACCACCTTAAACATTGTAGAGCAATCGTCACAAATACTGACCGATCACCAAAAAATTAACACATGTATTTAATAGTTAATCTGGGTGTTGATTTATTGTTTTCCCGGCACTAGTCAGGATAGATTGGAAACTAATTTGCATAGTGATATGAAAGACTAATTCGAGTATTCTTTCCTTTGGTGATCTCACACCTCAAGCCTTGCAAGGTATTAAAAAGGGTTAAATGAGTTAGATTATTTTTTTCTTCTTCTTCTTTTGTCGCCCAAAAAAATTCTGTCAGTTTGGAGCTATTCTTCGTTTAGCTAAATGAGTGAATGTTTTTGGTAATTTAACGAATTAGTATATTTTATGCCTTTTACAAAATGGAGAGAAATAAAGTATTGGAATATTTCAGGTGATTATTTTCCATTGATTTGAAGGGAATGGCGTAAAATATCCAGTGCATGGACAAAAATATAATTTGTTTATTTCCTACTTTGTCACTTCTTATCACCCACCTTATTCGATGTTTCACGTCGTTCTCGTTTCAGCAAGAAGCAAACTTTGTGCTACCAGATTCAAGTGAACCTCGCCAATTATACAGGGGAAACAACATAATAATTAACCACAAACTGTCGTTACTATAGAATAACAAAAACCTAGCCAGAGGGATAATTCACTGCGTAGAAAAATACGATATTATGAGTATTCTCTTTCTAAGCCTTCAAAGTTTAATTTTTTTAAAGTTGTCGTAAAATCTTTACCTTACGCATTTTAAAAAAAAAATTAAGCCCCGTAATGCGTAAGGAATATTTTACGACAGTTAAAAAAATGTCAGAATTTACAAGGATTTGTGTGGAAATACACTCGACTGTGACTTGGTGGCAAGAGTTGCTTTTCTTATACAAATTCTTCTAATTTTCGGCGGCCGTTGCAATCGCTACTTTTCAGATGTACTGAAATTACCTAATTTTAATATGCTCTTTCAGTTCCTGCTGACAAAATGTTCCAAAAGCGAACTGTTTTCGTGTTTATAGAAAGTTGATCACGTGATCAAGTATTGCAAAAAGGCCTTTTCCCTGCGCATCTGTAGATCCCCCGTATTGGTTTTACGGTTATATGTTATATTGATGGAGCACAATCCTTTGTTAATTGTGACGGAAACTTAATGCGACGGTTTTGTCGGTCAGTAAGATCAAAATAGTAGGAATGCTATTAAGCGTTGCGCACCTTTAAGACCGTAAAAACATGTAACCAAGGAATCTGATTAAACCCTATTAACTATATGCTATTCGATGCTTCCGTGATAGTTAGACTCCTTTCAGAACCACATGACATCTAATTTGAAAATTGAAAACACTCAACATTTTAAAGTCAAATTCACCTGGCGATTCTAGTTCAGTTCCACTCGGTAATGGTTTACTAGTTAGATCATTAGTGATTAACAGCGAAATTAAGGATGCGTTTCTTTACTAAACTATCCGAGATCGGATCAAAAATCCGGATAATTGGGATTTTTCGTTAAGAAAAGAAAGGATGTAGCCAAAAACAGGCTTATTTTTCATTCATTTCCATAAAAATGACCCACAATGTCGATGGCATCCTGGAGAAGGAATAACGCGGCTGCTGATAATGTTGCAAATTTGCAAATCTTTCATTGTATTCTGGACGGTTAGCTCAAGGATCGATACTGCTTGAAGATGAAATCTTGAAATAAGATATTTATCGATCTGGAAAAGTAAAATGTTGCAAGACGCGCCGGCGAAGTTGTGTAGCAGTTTTGTCTCGGTTTGTCCTTGTTAACTAGAACAATGCAGGTTTTTTTTTATTGCGATTTTACTATCCCGATAAAATGGATAAAATCGATCGTTTAATCCATGTCTCGAGTTCAAAAAAGGCGTAAAGATGAGCAGTGTTGTCAAACAGCTGCTGTATGTATTAAAATTGTTTCGAGTTACCGCTGGCTGTATTCACTCTTTTCGGATCTATAGTAAAGAAACGCTTCGGATTATGTATCAAAAGTATCCGGTTTTGAATAT